CTGGCTTCAGTCCACCATTTCTTCCTCCAGAAGCCCAATCACATATTTTCTAAGTGGAAGTAAGGAGTACTGAATTCAGATAGATCTGATGTCAGTGTGACACTGCTTTGTGGAGAGGAGCACAGCTAAAAGACAGAAGTTGCATATTCATGCGTACCTTCACACTTCAGTGTGGCTCAATTTTTTCGTTCATATGGTTGTATTCCCAGCAATATTACTTGCAAATCATATCCATATTTTTATCCTCATTTTCACTCTCATCTAATCCTTTTTCAGTTAAGTTGATGTAGCTTTTCCTTTCTCTTTTCTCATCCCTTTCCTTTCCTTACATAGCTTAGTTTTATTTAAAGACAGATATAATCATCTTCTTTGTTTTCATTGTACTGGATATGTTTTTATATAACCATTGAGTTAGATGACTTATGCATTTGATTTACATATATAAACCCTTAAATTGTAGTAGTTTCTTTTACCTAGTTCTCATAATCCATCTTTTCTGCTAATCATTATTTATTAACTTTTATTTTTAATTGTAAATAATAATGTAATTAATATAACAACCATACCTATAGTTTATTCTTTGAAAGATTCTCCCTCTTATAGGTCTGATTATATTAACAGTATATTAGGGAATTACCCTTGAGAGATTGTCCAAGTCCTTACATGTATCCTCATGTTGGAATGGGAGTCTTACAGAAATAAGTACATGCTATGGTCAAATGATTGTGCTTTAAATTTTATTGCATAGAATTGTTGATCAGATAATCAGCCTATCATTAAGTTTCCTAAAAATATAAGCCTTTTTTAATAAACTTATAGAAGCTATTAAACATTTATATTTTGCACATTAGATTCTGGAAAAACAGTGAACACTAGAAACAGAAACAAATTGAGATACAACTATGTTCCTAGCTGAAGATCTGGCCACAAACATATTAAGCAATCCTTGTACAACCCAAACCCCAAATAAGCATAAATAGGGAATAAAACTTTAATCAATTTCTGTTTAATGGTATATAGTTAAGACATGAGAATTCCATAGTTGCTAGTAGACTAAAATGTTGAGAATTGTCTTAGCAGAAGTCAATAGCAAGTCACTTCCATAAAAGTACAATGACAATTATCCTGGATATGTTTTTAAGAGTTATATTTAACTCATTTCTATTATTTTAAGCAATAAATTTAGTTTCTTTTGGCCAGCGGAAGAGACCCTGTTGGTATATATATTCCATCTTCTCATCTCTGAAACTTCCCTTAATTACAAATTGGCTCCAGAGAGTTGGAAAGCTGATGGTGAGTTAGTATGTTCACACAATATTGGGTATCCCTAATAGTTTTGGAATCTGAAATGGTAAACATTATTCTATCCAAAGGAAATGTAAGTTTTCTGCTTCAGTTAGAAATAAGACAAGTGAAATTTGAATAATAGATGTCATCACTTCACAGAATACACAAAAGAAGTCAAAATTCTCCTGCTCAGCCTTTCAAAACATGCCTTTTTTTTCTGGAGTCAAATTAGTTTGAATGCCTTCACTGTTTGAGATGTTTGTTCCAATATGATTATTTAGTAAAATTAAACATTGCCACCAAACAAAGGTATTCTCAGGATGCGTATGCTGGATTCAAATATTTGACATATATCAACATTGCCATACTGGTGACATAGGTCAAAGCACTAATTTTTATGTATGTACGTATGTAAATAAATTATACATACATATATACATATACATAATTATATTGGAACATATATATATATATATATATATATATA